TCAGTGACACAGTTACGAGGGCTGTGCGCGGTTCAAAAGGCAGACGGGTGAGTCACACATGTTAAGAAAATGTTCTATCGTAAAATGTGGAAACGGTTTGAAATACATTTTTAATTAGAAGAGAAAGTTACAAAGGGCCCATATGCTAGGTGGATGAGGGTGGCGATGTATAATTCTGTGTTTGCTAAGAGGACACACCCTTCCACCCCTCCCCCGGGGCACCGTCCCAAACTTAGAAATGTGTAACATCAGGACCGGGACCACGGGTTGCCCCGGTCTCTGTGGATGTCACTGGGCTGTGCCAGGAGATAGATCGGCATGTATCAAGGCAGCTTTGCTCACCTTTGGTGACCCCAAAGCCTCCCTCCCAGCATCCCTGCTGTGTGCATCGCCCACGGAGCTTGTTCACAAATGCCGATTCCCGGTCCCCAGACTAGAGCTTCTGATTCAGCTTGGGGATCTGTGTCTGACAACAGGAAGTTCTGAAGCGGCCCGGTCTACCTGGCAGACCCCAGGGCATCCTTGGCGAGTTTCAGGTTCCCCCTATGCAGAGCTGTCCCGGCTCTGCCAGGACTCAGTCCCTCACCTTTCCCACCCCGGGGAGAACAGCACAGCAGTTCAGGACAGCACGACAGGACAGTGCGCACAGCACTGGGAAGCTGTGGTCCCTGAGCCAGAGTCACGAGGTGCCTCTGTTTTGGCGGATGGGGCCGCGTGACCTCTCCAAGGCCGAGATGAGTGATCGGGTCCCTCACGAGCAGCACACGCTCCATGCGCTCACTGCGGTGGGGACGGAGCCCAGTGGTCCACGGCAGACCCCGGGAGAATCTGTGGGCAGCCTGGCCCGCGGCGTCAGCCCACGACCTTCCTGCGTGGTTCAACCCAGAACCCCTTCATCAGACATCCTGTCCTCACCGTGTTGTACAGTGCTCGCCTGTGGTGGGTCCGTCTCCTTCCCTCGGCTGAGCTTCCTGAGGGAGAACTCATGTTCTGTGGTTACTGCTCAGTCTTTCTGTGCCCGGGGCCTAGCCAGGCCGGCTCCCACTGGGGTTCTGTCGGTGTGTGTGGAAGAAGTACCGGTGGGTGTGTGAGTGCACAAGTGACTGGTGTTCTCTGGGAGCCCAGAAGAGGAAGGATGACCTCTGCTGGAGAAGATGTCACCTGGGACAGGTGTCACCTGGAGGTAGCATTTGAGCTGGCTAGGACTCGGTAGGTGGGAGGGAGGGGAGGTTGGAAGCACGTTCCCAGCTCAGGGCACAGCACAGAGGCTGGAGGTGCCGAGAGAGGCGTAGCCTCTGGCCAGGTTGCAGCACCCACTTGTCCTAGGCTCCGGGTGGGTCTCCCCACAGATGCTGCTACTCCCCGCTGTGAGCTCACCAGAGCCCCCCAAATAGGACCGTGGTGTGACCCATGGCCACATCCAGTGTGGCAAGGGCTTCACGGGGCAGGTTGGGAAGCCTAGGAGAAGAGGGCCCACCTTCTGCCCTGGACACTCACCCTGGCCCTCAGGGCTCATGTTTGGGGCTGACCATTTGCAGTCAAATCCCCTGGCCTTGGGTTTGGAGGTTCTCTTCCATGGCAAATAGCATTTATCAACTGCCTACTGTATGCCAGCCACTGCAGGGGGTAATTTGTGTGCATCGTATCATCAAACATGATTAACAGCCTATAGCCCATTGGACAGCTGAGAAAACTGAGGCTGAGAGAATTGAAATCACAGGCCTCAAAGTTCCACGGCAAGGAAACACGCGGAGTCGCCATGGGAGCCCCTATCTGATTGCAAAGCCCTTAAACGCTAGGCCCCCAGTGACTCAGCCCAGTGGCTCGGATCTCTGGTTCCCAGTGAGGAGCCAAACACCGGTGTTTACTTGTGTCCAGGCCCTGTGCTGGGTGGTGATCGAGCTTTAGGGGCTGACGTCATCACAGGTGTGGAGCGCCGCGGCCAGAAGCCCAGCTCTGATCTAATGGTGCCCGACGAGAAGGCTGAGGAAGTCCGGGGCATTGACCCAGGGCAGCCTCTGGGGGTTATTTACATAATGAAGGCTAAGACACAGACGCCACCGAGACCCCTACAACTTCAGCATCGGGCAGGCCCTGAGAGGACGTGTGAACAAGGCTTTCTCATGTCCTCCTGATCTGGACACAGCCACCCCACACACACACTCACAGCAGAAACCCAATGTGCCGAACCAGCACTTCACCATTTTCTGAACACACGCACATGCACACATGCAAGCACACACGCTGACCACTGTCTGGCCTGCTCGGCTCCTCAGTTCCTGTCCCCAGACTTCTCTGTGAGCGTGCCCTTTGAGGGCAGAAACTGTTCATTTGTTCATTCGGTCACTCATTCACTCAGCACACGCTCCTGGAGCACCTGCCATGCAGCACGCCTGCTGCTGGGCACCGGGGAGCCTGCCAGGGTTTGGCCGGAGCAGCAGAACGACCTGGGCCGTGGTTTTCAGCCCTTTTCATCTCGTGGCACACATACACTCATGACGGAAACTCTGCCACACACCCAAAAAACACATTACAGTTTGGGCCGATCTAACAAATAATTAGGTACACTTTTGATTCATTCACACGCACAGCTATTGCTGTGCTGGCTGTCGTCATTCTTTACTTTGACAACGTGAGGGAAGAGAAGCCCTTGTCCTTGACCCCTTTTGGTCAGTACGGCACGTGTTCAAAACCACCGTGCACACCGGTGCGCTGCAGCACACTGGGCGTAAACCGTTGTGCTAGGGGGCACCTATGCATATAAAACGAGGCGTTTTTTTCCAGGGATGTGACTTCCGTGAGTGAGGGAGCCAGTAAAAGCCTGTGCGAGGCTATCTGCCTGTGGCCTTGCAGCCCACGTGGGAGGGGGAATGGGGCCTGCAGAAGGCCCGAGGACAGCCTGGGACCCCCTTCAGCCTCACCGCCGGCACATCTCCAGCCAGAGAAGCTAAGGGGGCCATTGGGTGCGGTGAGTTTCAGATGCCAGTGAGAGGCCCGTATTTCTAAGGCTTCCTGTCTGTTGAGTGTCTATGTGTCTGGGCTGTCCGCCTGCTTTCATATAAAGCTCTACCCAGGGAGGCATTTGTGACCTGGTCTGCATATTTCAGTATCTGCCCTGAAAGGGCGGCCGTGAAGCTTTGGGAGAGATGGGCTTCCTGATGGTTCTCTTGCCAGCCATCGTCAAATGAAAGAGTCAAGGAGACTCTTCCTCCCAAATTTCAGCAACCATGTGGCTGTAATCATTTCCTACAGAGCTGTTCACAGCTGAGAGGGTGGATCCAGGCAGCGGGCACAGGTCACCTCAGTGGGGTCCCCTCCACTGAAGATGAAGGTCAGGCTAACCTCCCAAGCCAGCCAGGCTAACCACCCAAGGACAGACTCTGGAATCCCAGGCGACAGTCAGGTCAGAGAAGGAATGGAACTGGCTCTCGGGTGGAATCCAGGGGACCCTTCTGAGAACCCCCAATATGGCTGAGTGCCCAAACCACTCCAGGTTCTATTTTCTCTCCTTGTGGGCTAGAGTTGGAGACAGTGGGAAAGTGGTCTGAGCCCAGTGTTCAGAACCAGCCATTTGTTTGTCAGTGTGCTGTGTGGCTTTAGGAATGTCTCCTAACCTCTCTGGGCCTTCCATGTCCTGGTAGGTAAATGCAGGTTCTCCACGGACCCTTCCATGTCAAACCCACATCAACTTGTAGGGTTGCTTTCATAACTTCCCAGCACCCCTAGTCCGCAAGGGCCCGTCACACCTGTCTGAATACCGGGTCTCTGAGCTGGGATGCCCCAGGGAGACTGGCCTGTTCACAGCCCCTTCCTGCAGAACGCACCAGCAAGGCACCCCCTCGCCTGCCGGGTGACCCTGAAGGGAAGGGAGAAGCCTGGGCTGGGTCTCCTCCATCGTCCAGAACGCTGCAGTCGAAGAGAAATGGCATGAAGAGTGAAGCTCCCCTTTCCTCCACATACCTGGTTAAAAGTGGGTTTGGGCGCTGGCTGGCATAGCCCAGTGGATTGAGCACGGGCTGAGAACCATAGCATCACAGGTTCGATTCCCAGTCAGGGCACATGCCTGGGTTGCAGGCCACGGGCCCCAGCAACTGCACATTGATGTTTGTCTCTCTCTCTCTTTCTCCCTCCCTTCCCTCTCTAAAAATAAATAAATAAAATCTTTAAAAAAATACTTAGTTTAAAAAAAAGTGGGCTTGGGAAATGGCTTCGCTCAAAAATAATGTTTGAACAAGGTGGACGCCTGAGCCCCGTTCTGCGTCACGTTGTCCAATACAGATGCGCGTCCACATCACACTTTTCTAAAACGTCAGTGCGTTCGGGGCATTCAAAAACTCAAACTTGATTTTGAAACTGGTTAACATTGGAGGCTTTAAACATAGATCCCATTTAGCATGCGGTTATTTTGGGATTCGTTAGTGGAAGAGAGCCAAAGGTCTTTTCTAGGATAGGACTCTCCTTTGTTTTAAAATATGCCCTTTCTTCCTGCTGTCTGGGTGTTCTCCTGCATTACTAGGTGAGCTGGGTTTTTTAGTGTCCTTACTTGGTAAAAATAAACCTCGTCGCTGAACCCTATTTTAAAAACCATTCTGCTCTGTGAAACCCCTGGACCCCAGCATCCAGGCGGCTTCAGGCTTCCCAGTTACACGGCGTGAGACTCGACAGTTTCTTTTTGTAAAGGACAAGGTCAGAGAGGTTCAGAAGTGGGTTGGGCTCGCCCAGCTGGAGGAGCCAAACCACAACTTGAACGTGGCCCTCTCTGGCCTGGAATCCCCCGCTGGTGGAACTGTCAATTATCTTCTCCCCACCCCTCAAGGAACATGAGACCCAGTGCCTGGCTCCAGAGGACCCCCAAGATTTAGGGAGATAAGCCCCAAAGTAGGCCTGACACTCACCTCAGAAAACCTTCTGTCTCGGAGGGCATGGTCACCTCTCGGTTGAGCAGCCCAGAGACAGAGGAAGGCGCAGGAAACCCCCCACAGCAGAGAAAAACGCCTGTGTGGTTTGCTATTGCTCTTGAGGAGGCATTTTGTTTAATATTCACATGTCAGATTTACAGCGTTAATTTTGCTTCTTGTTGAGCAGAAACCGAGAAGTAAATGCATCCCAGGGAAGCCTTCCTCCCGGAGACTGGGCTCTGTCTTCAGAGTCGACAGCGATGGGCCCGGAGTTAAGAGGGAGCTCTGGGCACCAGAAGGACTGACCTCACAAGTGGAGAGGCCAGGGACCTCGACTTTGTCGAGTCCCATGACCGGAGTCAATCTCTGGGGGTTCTGTGGGGAGGGAAGGGTGGCCCTGGGGCTCCTCCCAGGCCAGCGACCATCAGGAAAAAACAAGGGGCAAGACCAGGGAGCCTCTCTGAGGAGCTCAGAGTTGGAAAGCTGCGTGTTGTGTAGGAAGCGGGGGACGAAAGTCACGATCTGGGAGGAGCTCACTGAGGGTCACTAGGTGCAGCAGAGTTTGAAGACGTGTCTGTACTTAGGGTTGTAGGTCTTTAGGTGTTTCTTCAGGCAGTAGGCCAACTTCTGGTCACAGGTGCAGAGCTGCACCTGGAGGCGGGGCCCAGGCTCTGCACACAGAACGCCCAAAGCAGAATGAGTAACAGAAGGTACACTCGCTCTCCCGACCTTGACCCCCAGGCTTGCTTCAGTCAGGACTTGCTTCTAGGCTGAGCAGATTCTTAGTCTGCTCTCTGCTCTGCGGGTGTGCTCAGCCTGATGGGGGAGGCACAGCGTCTGCACTGGAGGGCGCGGGGAGGGGCCGGGGGGGGCGTACTCTGACGGGAGAGACCCAGCCGCTGCCCAGGGGGAGGTTGCAGCCCAGGGGCTCCCAGTTCGTGCCCTCAGGGAGCTCCCAGCCTGATGGTGGGGACTGCCCCTGCTCTGAAGGAACCCCAGTCAGTTCCCATAGAGACATCATACCCAGACTTAGCTTTGAACTCAGGTGGACCTGAACTTGAATCCCAACTCTAGCTGTGTGTACTGGCAAGCCTTTGAGTTTCAGTCTCTTCATCTGGAGAATGGGGAAACTAAACCTACTCACAGGGCATTTTCAGGGAGCAAGTAAAAGGGAGTATGCAAAGCATTTGGCACTACTGAAGGCTCAGTCTAAGAGGTCAGATACAGGTGCAGTGTTTCTGCCCCACTGGCCCCCCAGCTCTGTCTCCCAAAATATAGACTGACTGACATCTAGGGGCAGCTGAACTCAGAGCCAGCAGAGACCCAGGCTCTTCCAGCGGCTTGAATGGGAAGCCCCAGCCTTACCGCAGGTGATCACGTCCCGTGAGTATCTGTACTTGTAATAGTGCGACCAGGTGTCGTAGCCTTTCTTCTGCAGCACATCATAGCAGCGGTCATGCTCCATGCAGCACCTGTCAGTGTGACACACTTAGATCCTAAGTGGCAGGGGTGTGCCACTTAGGCAGAGACCACGTCAGTGGGTGCAGTCTGGCAGAGGAAGAATCTAACAATAATATGCCCTTCCTCTAGGACGGCCTGCCATTGGCTAGCAGCTCATAAACGTGCTTTGTCTTCCTAAGCTCTCAATGAGACTACATCTCCCAGCCTCCCTTGCAGGTACACAAGGTCACATGACCAGGTTCCAGCCTGGAGAATGTGGGCAGAAGCCAGGCACGCCACATCCAGACCTACCCATAAAAACCTCACACATTATCCTCCCCTCTCTCTCTTTCTGCGTCTCCCAGCTGAGTGATGAGCCAGCCAAGGGCTCAGAGACTGCAGGGAAGGGCAGAGCCACAAGGTGGAAGGAACCTGGGTCCCACAATCAACATGGTTGGTTGAGCTGTTAGAAGACCAAACAATAAACTTCCAGTGTATTAGGTGTAGCAGGTTGCATAAAAAAATTTTTTTTGAGTTACAGAAAAGCGGAGAACATTGTACAGAGTGTTCCTATTACCCCAGATTCAGTTTCTCCTATTGTTAACATCTTATACTAATAGGATGCATGTGTGACTATTAACAAACCAATGTTAACTAAGTAATTTAACCAATTACTAATCAATAATCGATCGTTATTGATTCATTATTGCAAAGGGTTCACAGCTTATTCAGCTGTCTTTGTGTTTTACCTACTGTCGTCCGCACACGACATCCAGTCATCAGGGCTCCTTAGGCTCCTGTTGGCTGTGGCAGCTCCTCACATGTGCCATGTTTTTAAAGCCCTTGACAGTTTTGAGGGGGGCTGGTCACATGTTTGCAGAATGCCCTACTGCTGGGATTTCTTGAACGTTTTTCTCATATTAAGACTACGGTTATGTGCTTCTGTTTTTTTGCTCAACTACTTGCATTTTGGCCAGAGGGGGGCGCTTTCCCTTGGCTCCTGTGCTCTCGGACGTGTCTCTGTTGATATGAGGTTGTCTGGGGTGCGCTGGGTTTTGTGTGCACGCATCCCTACTTTCTGCGTTGTAAGAAGCTCCAGCCTCATCTTGCGTATTTCTCACCCTGGTCCTGGCATCATCCATTTCTCCAAGGAGCCTTGGTTCCTTGGAGAATGATATTAGAAACCAGTTCTGGTCACTAGCTGTTGCTTATTGCAACTGAGGGGTTGTTTCTTTTAGGTCCTGTCAGCTGACAGAGCAAAAATATGTGTATGTGTCTGTATTACCGATAACCCTGTGTATACACAGATGTATGCACATTTCCATTTGTGACCATCCGCATCTACAGGAAGCTAGCCGGGGTCCATACTGAAGTCCCCACCTCTAATCTACCGCCACATAGAGCGTTCGGGCGACCTGTCCCTGCGTGTCTGGGAACTGCCACTTCAGCAGGGAGAAACTTGAATCCCAGTGTCCGCCATCCTTCTGCTCAGTTCCTCTGGTAAGCTCTCTGGATCACCCAGCCTCAGTCAAGGTGCCCAAGCTGACGCCGGTTAAAGCTATCCCACCAAGCCCTGGCCACATGGCAGATTCTTAGCAAAATCAGTGGCCATCATCGCTTTGAGCCATTACATGTTAGGGTGATTTGTTACGTAGCAGTAGACCATCTGATACTTAGGCCGCTGAGATTCGGAGGGTTACTAGGTGTATCCTGGGCAAGTTGGTTAACCTCATCGAGACTCCGTTTTCTGATCTGTGGAATGGTGCTTTGATATTCACGGAGTCAGAGGAGATCATGTGTGTGTAGAGCTGAGAGCAGAAGGGCAGGGGGGATACTCAGCTCACCGGTCAGTAGCATCCTTGGGGGTCCCCTGACCGCCCAAGCCGCAGTAACAGCCGTAGAAGCCATAGTCTATCACAGCATTCTTTCCCGTCACCTCCTCGATCATCTGGTTCATTTCCATGATGCCTCCCAGCACAGCAGGCGCACCTGAAAGACACCCGTCCCCAGTTGAAACCCAGGCCCAGTCGCACAGGCCCGCTCTCCCAGCATGCCCCTGCCCTCTCCCCCACCTGGGGGCTTGGTGAGGGGGCAGAGGTCTCTTCTTTTATCCTCCCCACCAGTGGGACAGGGACCAGGAAGGCGAGGGCAAGCAGCGTAGGGCAGCGGTCTCAAGTGTGGACTTGAGACCAAGAGAGCCCGGATCCAGACCACAGCCCTGCCAGTACTTCACGGCATGACGCTGAGTGGGTCACTTATCGCTCAGAGCCTCGGTTTCCTCCGTTTCCTAAAATGTACGCCAGCTCTTAGAGTTGTGACCAGTTTAAAACGAGACAAACGGTGTACTGTAAATTCCGTGCACAGTGGCGGGTACGAACGGAGTGACCAGGAACAGGAGGCAGAGTTGACACGGTATGTACATGAAGCCAGCCGCCCAGCTCTCCCACATCTCCCAACCACGTGCCTCTCCCTCCTGCCACTAACAGCACCATTCAGAGCTCGAGGCTCTGTGAGTAGGACGGGCCCCTGAGAGGTCACTGAAGCCAGCTCCCTCACCTTGCAAACTGGGAAAATGAGGCCCAGAGAAGAAAGGCAGCTCGCCTTAACCAGAGGCTCCAGGCCTCCTGCTCCCCCTGGAGTCCTCAGGGGTCTGGAGACCCCCAAGAGCAGGACGGCCTGTCAGGGGCTGCAGGGGAGGCCTGAACACAGACCCCTGTGCTGTGCAGGCGCCGCCAGCTGGGAGGTGGCCCCACAGGGGTGAATAGAAACCTGGACAGGCCTGAGCAGAGAATGACCAGGGACCCTGGGGTGGGATATTTCTATAAGGTGATTGTTTTTAATTTCCTTCTTGTCTGCCTCCTGCTTTGACCTCAATACCACATGTTCTCCATGGAGCACAGCCCTGTATGTCCCCCAGGACCCCGCCACAGCCCTGCTGGTGGGCTGTTGGCGACGCCACGGACGACGAAACAGAGGCTGGGGGAGGCCGAGACCCTGCCAACATCCGCACAGTAAGTGCGGGGCCCCCATTCAAACCTAAGTTCTACTGCCTCAGACACTAGTCTCCTTTCCACCACCCTAGAGGGTTCCTAGAGGGGAGAATCTGGTCACAAGTTCAAAGGCCAGGGGCCAGCACTTACTGAAAACCAGGAGCCAAGCCAGCATGATGAGGCCCTTCATCTCAGAGACTCTGGAAAAGGAAACACACCCCATGACATACTTATCAGGAGACGTCCCCACGGCCCATCCCGACCCTACCCCTGGCTTCCCACCAGACCCGACCGTCTCACATTGGTCAAAAAATGGGCAACTCCAGTGGGCAGAGATGAGGCAACACCTCAAGGACTTGACTCAATGGGTCTCTGTGGGCAGAGGGACATTTGCGGGGTATTATCCCCTATAGAGATGGGAGGGAACTGTCCCATCAAAAAGGCCCCTGACCACAAACACCCTGACACAACTGCCCCTTCCATGGAAAATGGCCAACAGTGACCAGAGGGGCAGGTGGGGGTCTTCAGTGGGCAGAGACTTGATGGCACAAGTGAGGGGCAGGAACAGACGCAGCTGGGCGGGGCACTTGATGAAGGAGGTGGCAGGGAGAAAGAACCCTGGACAAAGGGAGAGACAGCATCAGGGCTGGGAGGACACGAGGGAAACTGATGGTGTAAAGTCTCATCTTCCTTTATCTCACAGTGCGGAGGGCCTGTTCGAGGCTGTCTTCTCTGCTGGGTTGTTACATTTTTTAAGATTTTATTTATTATTTTTAGAGAGAGGGCATGGGAGGGAGAAAGAGAGAGAAGGAAATATCAATGTGTGGCTGCCCCTCGAGCGCCCCCTACTGGGGACCTGGCTCACAGCCCAGGCAAGTGTGCTGACTGGGAATCCAACCAGCGACCCTTTGGTTCACAGGCCAGCGCTCAGCCCACTGTGCTCAGCCCACTGAGCCACACCAGCCAGGGCTCTGCCGGTGTCCTGAGGGCAGAAGCTGGCAGGATCAGCCCTGTCTCCCAGCACTGAGGACAGCACCCAGCCCGAAGCAGGTGCTCAGGGAGGAAGCAAGGGCGCACCTTATGGGATGCGGCTTTCAGGGCCTTGTTAGGGCTTTTGGGGGTCCCAAGCACTTTTGCCTCTATAGTCCTCTTTCTCGGAAAAAAAATTCTTTTTACAGTATATTTTACAACTGCATTGGTATAAAAACGAATGCAATCGACACTGGATTCACTATTGTTATATGCACTTTTTCTTCAATGTTAAAAGAATTTAAAACTGAAACGTTTCCGTGGGCCCCAGGCAGGGTGCCCCAGTAAGCTGACCCTGGGCACTCGTGAGCCCTCTGAAGGACTGGTGTCAGCGTCGTCATTTTACTAGTGCAGGCTCAGAGAGCTCAAGGAACGTGCCAGAAGTCACATCGCTAGCAAGAAGTGGAGGCAGGGTGCAAACCCAGGCCTCGAACACCCCTCAGTGCACCCCACAGCCCCCCTCCCTGGAGGGGTGAGCTCTCCTTCGAGCCTGGAGCGCTATCCCATGGACTCACAGGCCCCAGCTGCCCTTCCCACCAGACACATGAATGACTGGCCTGCAGTTCAACAAGCCACATCCAGATGGAGAGGAAATTCCATGTTCTGGGACCAGTGCCTGATTTGAACTTGGCGTCTCACAGGGTGCTTTACCAGTAGCTGCCTGCTTCCCTTTCGTCTCTTCATCCCAAAGTCCTCATTCATCTGCAGCTGCTCAGCTGGCCAATGGGCTGCCACCACTTCCGCTTCGGTGCCCTGCCATCTCCAGTCCCCTCAGCTGTCACTTCTGCAAGTGCTCTACCCAGAGCCCCGGGCCCCCTCCCAAGGCCTGGCTCCAAACACACAACCTGCAACTCCAGGGCTCCTGGCTGCTGGGATGGCCTCTTCATGAGGCTCCTCTGAGTTCCAAGGTTATTCCTGAGGGTTCTGTCCACGCATGGCCTCTGCTCTGAGGACTCTACATATCCAAGCCAATGGCCGTGGACCCTACTCTTCCACAGGATTCTTTCTCATGGCTTCATGGGGCTGTGGCGGGAGGAAGATGCCAACTACCGTGTACTGGGCACCTACAAGGGGCCAGGCACCACCCGCTGCCTCTTGAAACCTGCCGATGACCACAGCAGGAGCGAACTGTTAGACCTGCCAGCACAGCGTCTGTCCCTTCAACAGTCATTTGTTGAATGAGAGAACACCACTTGCTGATTTTACAAACAAGGAAATCGAGGCCCGGGAGGGGGAAGTGAGCTGTCCAAGGATTCAGCCCAGGGATGTGGCTCAGCTCCTTTGACCGACCGGACTCCACTGCCCTGGAGCAGCCTCTGAGTAGAGACTGTGTTGCTCCTTTTCTGTACCTTAGGGTGTTTTGCCATGCCGGGGGCCTTGCCGGGCTGGGAAGAGACAGCCCCTCCCGGGACTAGCTCATTCCTGGAGATAGCCGAAGACAAACCGACCAATCCTGAACTCCCTTGCCCAGCCACCTCCTTTATTTAACATTCCGGCTCCCGGCCAGTGTTTCCTCTGCCCTAGTTCACCCCAGGGCCACGGACAGACCACAACCCCACCCCCAAGCTGTCCTTTCCTGCACTCTGGATCATACTCTCGCTCATTTCTTCTGCCCCCTGATCGACCCTGGTGCTTTCCCAGCGGCCCTGCCTGGTGCCGTGTGTTCCCGTCTCTTGGAAACCGTGAGTAACAAACTACCTTTTAAATGGTGCATCTCCTGTTGGCCTCATCATACCTGAATAAGACCTAAACCCCGGTGCGTTTTAGAACACCGTGGCACACGGGCTGTGGACGTGAGTGGAGGCCCCACGCGAAGGGTCTGAGAGAACAGAACTTTCCCAGAGGAGGTGGCAGAGCCTCTGAACCAGCTGCTCTGGGGACAGGGAGAAGGGACGTCAGGGAAGCCCAAAGCAGACCCCCAGGGGAACGGTGTGGGGCTGGCTATGTTTATCAAGTGGCCACAGGGGACAATGAGTGTGTCCAGGAGATAATTTTGGAGTGGAGCAGTGACTGTGGTCAGGAGGGGTGGGGACAGAGGGGACAGCAGAGACAGATGGTGACCAAGGATGAAAATGTGGCAGCCGGGGAGTGGCGGGTCATTGGACAGACTGATCCTCCAAGTCCGCGTGCAGCCCTGCCCCACCCCCCACCCGGACCCCCTCAGCTCACGCCCTCCAGCTGGAAAGGATGAAAAGTCCCAGACCCCACTCACAGGAGTCTTGTGGGACCTCCCTGCCATTTGTGGGGCCAGCCCTGGAGGGCCGGTGTCCCGTCTGACAGCCCCTCTCCGTGCCCGCCCCTATCACCCCCCTCACGTAAGGCAGCCCCCAGAATGAGACTCCTCACCTGGGAGACCAGCTCTGCGTCGTCTTTGGGTCTTTGTGGGGCCTGGGGGAGATGCAGGGGTTGGGCCCGCCGGGTTTTAAGGGTTTCCCCGGCCCCCTCTCACCTCCCCCGCCCCGCCCCGTCCCCGCCCCACTCCAAGATTCCTGGTACTCACATGGGAAGTCTGACTTCTCCTCTTTTGACCTCTCAGGATTCCCCACCCCCCTGTGTTCAGAAGCAGCTGTTTTCTGAAGGACATCACGGCGCCTGGGTGGGTTTCGAGAGGGAGAGTGACCTCTGCCTGGCTGGCCCAGCCCCAGTCCAGAGCTCTCCTCCATCCAGAGCTGGAGATCTAGAACCCCCTTCTGCATGCAGACGCCCTCCCCACCCCCATGCTCCCCCACCTCGGGCCACACCAGGGTCCCTGTCAAGGCCTCCAGCCCACGCTCCTGCTCGAATTTCACTCTGTCTCGCTGGGCCTCATCCCAGAGACAGCCAGGAGGCACCCCCTCCAGACTGACGCCATTCTCTTCCTGTCGGTCCCCACCTGCCAACCCCAACTCTCTCTGTCCTGGAGTCAAAGCAAAATGTTGTCTCTGAGCCCAGCTGGCGCCTTTCTTTGCCCCCAACTCCCCACCAAACCCCTGCATTTCCTCCCTCTGAGGAGAAACCACCACCTTGCAGTTAAAGAGCATAAGCGGGAGGCCCCCCACAAAGTAGCTGCGCAGGGGCCCCGGGCAAGTCACCGCTCCTCTCCTCTCCTGGGACACGTGAGAATAACGGCTCCCGGCCACCGGGGAGGCTCGTGGGCAGGGATGGCCCGCAGAACATGAGGCCGAGTGGGGAAGTGTGCAGCTCAGCGGTTACCATCACAGCTCCAAGTTCTGGGTGCAAATCCTGTCTCCCCACTACCAGCTGTTTCATTCACCTCAGGGCCGAGGGGAGTTTCCTAGCCTGCAGTCACTAGGATTAAATGACTGAATGCATTTGTAACAGAGCAGTGGCAAAATCATGCTAACAATTAATGACCCCCTGGGTGTTCTCACAAGGACACGGGTGGGGGGGTGATGTTATTTGTCTCCATTCTCCACTTGTGTTGACCCCCATGTCCCCACCCTGACCTCCACTTACACACGCTTTTCCGAGAAGACGTGGGTGCTCCTGCCCTCCTGTCCTGAAATCCCCTCCTCCAGGCTCTCCTGAGCCTGCCTCTTCCTGGGACCCAGCCCTAAGCACCCCTCCACCCTGGAAATTCAGTGGAATACAGAAAGTCCCCACAGAGTGTCGGCTACACGCCTGGCACTGCTGGGGTCCCCCGGGGAAGAAGAGAGACCCGGCCCCCACAAGCCGCTTTCTGGTTGGGGGACACGGAGAGTGAGGGCATCGAGCCAATAAATGCACAGCACGTCCAGGGGCAGTGACTGTGGTGGGGACCTCCCCTGTTTTGCATCTTTATTTCTCTTTTACCACCAGCAGCTTCGTGCTGTGCGTGCCTGAGGGCACCAATCTCCCATCCTAAACGAAACAAAAGGAAGCTGAAAAAGGGAATCCATCCCTAGCCTCTGCTGACCTTTCTTCATCTTTCTCTTGCCTCTGAAAGCCCAGTCTCTGGACAGAGAAGCTTTCACTTGCTCATCGCCGGCTCCCTTGTGAATCCTTTGCTGCCTGGTTTTGGCTGCGGCCCCCAGCCAGCTCTCAAGGGTCCCCCAAATCTTGGTGTTGCCCAAGGCCTGGGCTTCACCCCCTCAGTCTCTCGGGCACTCCATCCTGCTGACCATCAACTCCTTCTCAAAACTCCCTCTGCCCTGACCTTCCAGAGGCTGCCGTGACCTGCCATCTGCCCTCCTCCTCCTCGGCCCCCATCCCTATCGGCCCCCAAAGGCTGGTGTTTTCAGGGGGAGGGTCTGCTCCCTCTCTCTTCATCTCCCCTGGGCTGAGCTCATCCGAGGTCAGAGTTTTTGGTCTTCCTCCACGCAGAGTCCAGGAGCTCTCACGGCCTGAGCAGTGTCTAGCACCAGCTCAGACTCAGTAACACCAGGTGAATGAGTGATTGAAAAATGAATGGAGAGACAGAAGTGGATTCAAGTCGAGGTGTCCCCTCTGATGGCCTGTGTCCCCTCTGGCCTCTTCAGGTCTCAGTTTCACCCTCTGTGAGGCAGGGCACAGTTATTTCCCTGTTCACTATTTTTTACAGCCCGTGCATGTTAGGAAAGTATCACCAAAGCAGAAAACAACAAAGAAACATGAAAAACCTAAAAAACAGTTAAATACATGGTTTTTTGTTTGTTTGTTTTACTACTGTGTTCAAGAAACATGAAGCAGTGGATATTAAACAATTTATTTTTATTGCATCTTTACTCATATATTTGGTTTTAGGTTTAGTTTATGATTTTAAAATCTTAACTGTCTAGTAGATATAATATCTGCTTATTGAAATAGTAAACCTAAAGAAAATGAGAATGTATGCTCATTCCATCCTTAATGCTGATTATTCAGAGGACATGGCGTTTTTATTAAACCAAAAATATTTAACTAATTATATTTACCAAGGATTTACTCAGCTCACATGAATTTGGAAACATTTGAGTTAGTCTCTATATTTCTGGGAGTCTCAGGAATTTAATTTACATAAGCACTTGCTGATCTATATGCCAATTTGAATAGAGCTCCTTTAAGGGACTTTATAATCGAACTTGGTCCCACCGTCTGCAAGGAGAACCGTATCGCACATCCATCACACACACGTAATCACACCAACACGCATACAACAGGAAGCTCACGGCTTTCACTCTAAAATGTCTGCTGGGAGTTAGGCAAATGCAGTATCAAACTCTCCCCTTTGCTTCGCTTTCACACTTTTTATTAGAATTGTGTTTCTGGCAGGTGGGGTAAGTGGAGGTTCTTTATTCGACAGGAAAGCTAAAGATTCTTACAGTGTTTGTGGAGGGGGCCTTTAGCACTTTCATTTGTCCCGTGTGTAATCTTAAGGAGGCTGTGGACTACATTTTGGGTGAGAGACGGGAGGACATCAAGCAGCTGCTTGGATGTCTCCAAACCCATCCGAATGGACAAAATAGCCAGTCTGTTTCCGATGAGCCTTCGGCTCCTTGGCAGCCTCAGGAGGGTTTGGGGGTCCCTTCGGCCCCTGAGAGCCCCACATTGGGATTGGAGCATTCAAGTGACCAAGGGGCTAGAGTGGGCGGGGAAAAGGTCTGAGCGGTGGACGAGGGAGGGAGAAGGTGGGTGCTCCTACGGGTAATATCAAGGATTCAGGGGAACCGAAGGGAAGACCAAGTGGTAAGACGGGGAGACGGGAAGGGAAGTTCTGAGAGGAGCCCGTCTGGGGAACGTCTCCAGTTGCCCAAAGAGGCCACTGAAGTTCCATGTCATCATCCTCAGTAAGGTCATGCCACCAGGAAAGGAGGAAGACAGAGCTGGCAGGGGGCATGTAGTCACCAGGGGTTCGAGGAGGGAGTTTCCAGCCCACTGAGAGCCCCTGTGTGGTTAACGTGCCCGCACACGGCGAGCAGAGACGCACAAGACTCCGACCGGCAGCCGCTCCCTCCGGAGACCTGCGTCTGGCAGACTCGGAGTCCAGGGCTCTCACCTGGCTTCCAGCAGGGGTGTCCAGCCTTGTGGCGTCTCTGGGCCACACTGGAAGAAGAGCTGTCTTGGGCCACACATTACATACATTGAGACACCTAATCACAAAATGATCTCATAATGTTTTGAGTAAATTTATGATTCTGTGTTGGGCCACATTCACGGCCACTTTGGACTGCATGCGGCCCGTGGGCTGCAGGTTGGACCCCCCTCAGACCCTTAGGGATCAGAGCCCGTGCTCACCACGTGTCAGCGCAGGCTCGGATCTCGGACTCATCAGTGGATCCCGAGCCATCGGTCAGGAGTGAAGACAAAACCTTCAACGGCTCACACTTAGGGTCCTGGGTGAGGGGTCTGGGGACCCAGGGATGAACTGGATCCTGTCTGGGTCTCTCGAGCCCATGACTGTTAAAGAAACCAGAGCTGGACAGTAGCTTAAGCAGGAAAAGTGGACTTTTGTATATGGGAAAAGAGACATCAGTACGGAAAGGGGCTCGATTCCCAGTATAGCAGGATGGTGGGGATTGACAGCCAGCTAGCAGGCTGGGCGTCAGAGGCTGGAAAATTGCCAAGCTTGGGTATGGGGGGGCTGTCAGGGGGGGAATGCTGGCCCACCCAACACAACAGGATTTTTTCCAAAGGCAGGCCGGGGCAACGAGACATCATCACCTGGGGACAGTGAGCAATGAGGAATTCAGCCTGGTACCCAGGGCGGGAGGTTCTCCGCAGTAAACTCGCTTAGCAAGATTCTTGCTCTGCAGGACAAGACCCGGGGATGGGCCCAGTCCGATAAAGCACTTAGAGGAGACCGACCGACGTTGGTCAAGCAGATTTTGTCAGTGACACAGTTACGAGGGCTGTGCGCGGTTCAAAAGGCAGACGGGTGAGTCACACATATTAAGAAAATGTTCTATCGTAAAATGTGGAAACTGTTTGAAATACATTTTTAACTAGAAGAGAAAGTTACAAAGGGCCCATATGCTAGGTGGATGAGGGTGGCGATGTATAATTCTGTTTTTGCTAAGAGGACACACCCTTCCACCCCTCCCCCGGGGCACCGACCCAAACTTAGAAAGGTGTAACATGAGGACCGGGACCACGGGTTGCCCCGGTCTCTGTGGATGTCACTGGGCTGTGCCAGGGGATAGATCGGCGTGTATCAAGGAAGCTTTGCTCACCTTTGGTGACCCCCAAAGCCTCCCTCCCAGCATCACTGCTGTGTGCATCGCCCACGGAGCTTGTTTATAAATGCCAATTCCCGGTCCCCAGACTAGAGCTTCTGATTCAGCTTGGGGATCTGTGTCTGACAACAGGAAGTTCTGAAGCGGCCCGGCTACCTGGCAGGCCCCAGGGCATCCTTGGCGAGTTTCAGGTTCCACCTATGCAGAGCTCTCCCGGCTCTGCCAGGACTCAGTCCCTCACCTTTCCCACCCTGGGGAGAACAGCACAGCAGTTCAGGACAGCACGACAGGACAGTGCACACAGCACTGGGAAGCTGTGGT